CGCATGACATTATACATACAGTTATTGCGATCCGACCTAATTTCGCCAGAGTGGCAAAGAATATATGTCTCATATCTTTTCTGTCACATATAACACCTTCCTGTTCAAGTAGAATATAACCTACGTTACTTGATGATAATATACCTATTCTGTAGCGAAAGAATATTCGAAATTGCTTTAGTAATTTTGGAGTCTATTCAATGCATACAAACAATCAGTTTTCGAATATTAGTAGTGATGACTTTTTTCTGGCAAGATATGGGTCATAAAAAATATTGTAGCACAGTCTGAACAAAAGTTTGAGACAATTCATGTTTCATTCACTGTAAAAAAAAAGTTTTGCCATTGAGAATGATGTGTTATATCGGTGTAAATAAAATGCATTACAATCTTCGTATAGATTGCATAACAAATAATGTAAAAAGTGTCATAAAATTTAAAATCAAAGCATTACCTCTTGTTCCATGTACGTATTGACGTCTTGCAGCGAGAAGCCGTGCGTGCGCGCGTCAATGGGCAGCTCGATCGTCTTCACCAGCACCTTCTTATTCTTGTCCTTCGACTTATCCTTTTTGTCGTCATTTCCCTCCTGTAAGCACACAAACGACTTCATAACTCTTACATTTACCACGTCCCCACCACCGTCAAAGCTTGGAACTTACAATTATATTCACGCTATCATTTATTAGCTAGATTTCCAAGCAATGCGATGACCCATTTGCACCTAAATAACACAAGCAGAAAAACCAATTTGCATCATAGAACTTAATTTACTATTAGAGGATATAAAACAATATCAGGGGTATAACAAAACATGCGTGGACACAGAGCAACTCCGCTGTAAATTCAAATAAAAATAAGTATCATCAAAAGGAATGAAAAGCCTTATGAGAACACTGTGCAAATGGGGCCTCAAGAGAGGGTGGGGACCGAGATACAACTGTGATGTTTGTTGCCTTCTAACTTACTTTGAATACATTAAAAAATAATATCAAAACAAAATATAAAAACTGGATTTAAGGGAGTAAATGAACTGAAAGTAATTAAATCATGCAATATGTATGATAAACTGAGTGTGTAAATTAATTTAATTTCAACCGAATAAATTGGAAAGAAAACTGGAGTACTAAAAGTGTTATTTAGTAGTTCAATGACATAGAGTGGTGTATGTGTGTGTGTGTGGAGAGAAGGAGGACGTGGGGGCGGGGAGGGCAGGGAGGGGAGAGGAGTCGGCAACAAACATCACGAACACTGGACAAACGCTCTACCGGCACATACCCCGCTGAACCACTGGCCTACTCTCTGTGTCCACGATTGTTTTTCCTGCGGCTCGCCCTTCATGTCATCTTCTCTCACCTCTTGGTTTTCGGGGCCATTTTGCTGTTGCTCTTGCGAAGCCCCGTTAGTCTCCATTGGCGCTTCCTGATTGCTCTCCTTCTCGTTAACGTTCTCCATGTCTACGTTATCCGTCTGAGAGGAGTCCTGCTTCTTCTCGACCAGCGAGGCGGACGCCACCGTCACGATGCCATGGATCGTCACGCGCACCTTCAGCTTCACTTTCTGCGACTCGCCCTCGCCCGTCGGTTGAACATCTCTAATGTTCCATTGCCCTATATCAAATAATTCCTTCGTTGGACAAACATCAAAAAAACACAAATTCCAATAATTAAATACTAGAACAACTACACTGCTCACTGTTCCATATTTCAAATACCAGATCAAATACACATAAAAATTAATAGCAATGAACTTACCAATGAAATTATCCGGATAGGGAACTTGATCGGAATAGTAGGCGCTGACTGAGAAAGGTTCCTTTCTGTAGAAAGTCAACATCTTTGAAAATGGTGCGGCATGGAAAGCTGGGAACACCTGAAATTATATTCACCATGATGTATATCATACAAATATTCAAAATGCGAAAGTTTAGATGGATGGATAATTGTTACATTTTATAGGCTAAATGGCTGAATGGATCTGGATGAAACTAGGCATAGATCTAGGACATAGTCTTGAAGAACACAAGCTACTGACTTTTGTTTTTTTTATTCCACGCAGACGG